GATTCTATGATTCTATGATCAATTTTATCCAACTTTGCAAAGCTTAATCCTTTTGAAGACTCTGGAGAGGAGGAGTTCAGTTCTCGCCAGTAGCTAGAGGTGGATAACCAAGCCTGGGCATCATGGCTTTATGCAACAGATATTATGGAAAATAAATGTATTCAGGCTAACAGAAGATCTGGAATACAATGAAAATGCAATTTAAAAACAGTATCAAGTTTTAGGAAAAAAAATCCTCTGGAATTCTCAATGTTAATTTTTATGATGTAGGGAGAAAAGTATATTCTGATTCTTTTTCAAGCTGAAAAATTCCAAGATCTTTAGCCAGCAAAACAGAGAGAGCCTTTGATAACTGTATGACCCCTTTGAAATTGTTAATATCACTTGAGCTGTTAACTCCATTTTATTTTAAATGAAACAAATTCCATCAAATTCCATCCAGTTCTAATAAATGCTTTGTTTCCCAAAGAGACAGATTATCATTTATGGCTTGTCTGGCGATCTTATCTAGCACAAACATCTCAGTGTTGCACAGTGAAAACCACTGTCCTTATCCTGGAGGTCTCTATAGGCCCTTGTGTCTTTGAGCCCTGTTTCACTGACCTGCATGGACTCTTGCCATAAGCAATTTGATGAAAGCTAAATAGCTATTTTTGTAAATGGGGATGTTGCCAGTCTCAAAGAGATGGAGGTGATATTAGGGCTGATAACACAGAGTAAGGGAATGAAACTGAGTAAAAGGAAATGTGGTAATGAAGACAAGCATTCCATAAGCAAGTACAGCCAGTTTGTATGACTGTCTCTTCAAAGGAAACTGATATGTGAACTCTTCAAGCCTCGCTTGGGCAAGGCAGCCAACACTTACTTTGGAGTCATTTGGGATTGGAGGAATTGATTCAATGACATTGGAGGTTGTGGGTATTTATATGGTGAGGGCAGATTTTTTTTAATGAAGAGAAGCAGGATTCAAGCTGAGGTCCCACTGTGAGGAGCACCCAAGGAGCATCAAAGCACTTTGCTTTACCTGGATGTATTGAAAGAGAAAGTGCTCTTGAAATGAATTGAAAATGCCACAGTTTTTTGTCAGCCTGGGCAGATGGCTTAGGACGTATTCTGAATTTAAGAGGTGACAGTATGACAAGCAAAGTGATCAGACAGCATTCATGAGCTTTTACCAGAAGTTTTATAGAACAACCTCAGAGTCTCACCATGAGATTTATAGACTAATAACCTCCACTTTATGATGGGCTCCAGTTATGACCATTATTCTTTCACTCTTTGTGTGCCAACGCTGATATATAGTCACTTCTCTTCTGAGTCACTTCTCCTGCTTCTGCTTCTTCCTAACTTTTAATTTTCTTCCTCTGCAGTCTTTTGCTTCAGTGTCCTCTGATCTCCCTGGGGTTTCCTAGGGAAACTCCAGCACTTCCTCCCTCCAGTCATCATTTATTTGATGGCCTCATTGGGAAAGTCTTCCAGACCGATGAGAGGTTACCAGAGAATAGCTTTTTCCATTTTTCCCTTACCATGGTGTACTTCCAGTCAGTGCCTGGGATCCCCTATAAACATTTGATCCCAGGGGTATTCCTTTTCCACATGATGCTCAGGGAGCTCTCCCATTCTCATAAGATAGCAGTGAGATCAAGTCTGAGCTAGGTGCTCTTTCTCAAGTATGTCTGATGCCAATGCAGTTCGGGAGTGCTGGAGATGCTGTTCCCAACTCTGTTACCAACTTTCCTTGGTGCCATCAAGCTTTCTGAGTAGGTGATTAGCCTCATCTTCTTCTCCTGATGTGACTTGTCTGCATTTATTGAGGGGTTCTTTAGGCTAAGACACTGCCAACCTTCCTTGAGCAGATGGCTTTTTCCAGATTTTATCTCTGTGTTTCTGGCTCCTTGGTGCCTAGCTCACTGTGCTCCGTGTTCTTCCAAGTCATGGGGAAACTTCGAAAACAGAGCACATCTCAGTCTTCAACCTATGGCTTCTAGCCAAGGGAGTTGCTCACATCTACACATACCTCAATCAGCGTTTCCCTTCCATCATCCCACCTCAGGATAAGAGTGTGCCCATCTCCTCAGGGTAGCCTCTTCCTCTCCTCCAGTTCCCCCTTCCCTTTCTCTCACCCTACCAGCTGGCATGGTGCAAGCAGCCAGCAGCTGGGCCTCCTCCCAACATCCCCCCGGCACAAATGCAACTGCTGAGAGCATGCAAGACAGCTGCCTGGCGTCTCCTCCACAGCCCTCCCTCCCACCCTCCCTGACCACCTTCCCCGTTTCCTCATCAGCCTGGCTGCCCACCTCTCTCTTTGGCCACCCCAAAAGTGTGACTGCCCAAACCAAAGCTCGGCAACGTCTCTTCTTTCACCCAACTCTCTACAAGTGCAACGATGGGGGAGCATTCCTCCACCTCTCCTGCCACATCCTGCTGGCAGCCAAGTAGGATGACGATGACACAGTAGGGTTTGGGTACATTTTTTGCTCCGTCTTGTCCTGCAGCCAACCTCTGTGACCTCTGGATGAACCCAGTAAAAGAGAGTGTCTTTGGAGAATGCTCTTGCCGGTTTTACATCTGTGACCAGTTGCAATTTAAATTCCCCTTCTGTTTGGGAGAGGAAATGAGAGAGGCGCAAGGAAGAGTGATAGTTAAAACCAAAAAAAAAAAAAAAAAGAAAGAAGAAGAAGAAAGGAAAAAGAAAACAGAAGTTGGATAAGAACAAACAAGAAACAAAGGGAACTGAGGCAAATCTTGCGGTTGGAAAGAACTTGGCATAATGTGGAATAAGTCAATGTTTCATAATATGCTAATATCTTTTTTCTAAGAAAACAGTGGAAAAATAACAGGGCCTTATCTTGAGTCCATCGCTACTTCACATGTAGCTTTGCAAGGTCACTGTCGGGGTGGGAATGTGCTGAGCATTTCACTGACACTGGCTGAGAAATTGTCCAACGTCATGGTATGACAGGTAATTAAAGCTTGGTGCAAAGGGCAGCTCACAGCCCCAACTGCACGTCCAACGGTCAACGCAAACATTGATGGATCACCACTGGCTGAGCTGGTGAGGACTGAACTCATCACTCTTGCTGCTTAAAGCTTCTCCTACCTCCAATGGGCAGCCAAACCTCTTCTCCCTGAATAGCAGCACCATCAAAATGGTCAATCGTGGAATGTCTGGAATGGGACAGGGAAGCAAATGGCGTAAACTTGCCTGGAGATGGGATAATTTTGACTCATTCATCGTAAAATTATTAAATGTCTGAGAGCTACCAGGAAAGACTGATCTGCATTGATGTCCTTCATTTTTCTTCTGTTTATGTTCATTGCAGTTGGGAAAAACCCCACCAAATGCAGTGAGCAGTGAATGAGATCAGGACAAGGACATTGCAGTGATTCAATCACTGCTACTTGTGTTTTCCCAATAACTTCTGTGATTTGGATGCTATGGTTGTAATAAGGCAAGAGGATCTTAAGCTTTGAAACAGGTTTTCAGAGTACTTTTAGTTCTGATGTGACTGCAGCCTCCCAGACACTAAATCTGCTTATACCATAAGTTGCCTGGGGAAAAGATAGTTCATCTTTATGTATTTGTATCGATCTAACATTAAAACCTCATTTTCACCTAGAACTGCTTATTGCTACCCTAAGTATTGTAGTAAAAGAGTATAGCAACAACACATTAAGGCTCCTGCCTAATTGTCTCCTGACAAAGCTACATGTTTCAACTTTGAGGAAAAAAAAAAAAAAAAAGACTTTATTCCAAATTAAATGAAAACTAAATAGTTCATTTTCCTTAGCAAAGATGCTTTAATAATTTTCACTGAGAAAAAAAGAAAGCAGAAAAAAAAAAAACCTTTTTCATTTGACTTTCAGGTTTCTTTGGGTTGCTTTCCTGTCAGAATTCTGGTAGATAAATGAAACGTGAGATGCCACAGAGGTGGAAACTCTACAGCTCTCAAATAGGAAATATTCAGGTTCCTTGTCTGGAAATGAAAAAAAATGGAAAGAACCCAGGCTCTGGGGAGTCCAGTGCTCTCAAGAGGCTCCAGGATCTTGAGAGTGTGTCATGGAGGATGGATATTTTGGGTTCCCAAATCTCAGGTTGGCCTAAAGAGCCTGATGGAACTCTCAGGGTTTCGGAGACTCTACCATCTGACCAGCCATGAGGTGAGCTGGTAAAAAATCAGGTGGAAAAACCCTTTCCCAGCATTTCAAAACCAGCTGGTCAAATTGTCCATGACTTTGAAGTATTTTTACTATGGAAGAAATAAGTGTTCTCCGATTAAACTATTTTGCTATTTTACCTAAAATTCCCCAAATAGCCAGATTAAATAAAAGGCCTCGAGCCTTGGATGTATAAATATATAAATATATAAATATATATTTTCTTGAGGGAAGTATAAGCAGGGAGAGGAGAGCAACAATTTTCACAAGACTGAGGCATGTTCAGGACAGCAGCCACCAGATTCCAGCCCCCATTTTAAAACACAGAAAAGCAGCAGCGTGGAAGGAAAGAGAAAAAAAAAGGAAGAGAAAAAGCAGTGCTATTCCCTATTCCATCCCCTCTTCCTGTCAAAAATGCAAATGGTTTCTGTATGAATCCAAGGGCTTTGCTGACTATTAGCTCAGCTGCAGTGCGTTCAAGTGGAAAGCTGCAGAGCTGAGAATTGCCAGCAGCTTCTCCCAGCCCCATTAACTTCTTACTCACACAGTTTGTCAGTGAAGTGGCTGGAAGGAGCGTTTTGTTGTGTTTTTTTTTTTCTTTTTTCTTTTCCCATTCTGAGAAATTGTAGGGAGCAATCATTTGCCTCAGCTGAAATGCAGCTACCTCCGGAGAGGCACATGGTGGCAATTTCCCATCAGGTGCAGGTGCATCATCAGTCTAGGGAAGTAAGGTGGAATAAGTGCTCCAGCTGGTGCACAAGAGAGTTTAAAGATGGAATTTGGATATTAAGACAAGTTTCTTCATGCCAGCTGCGTATGAGGTGCTTTGTTTTCCTCTGCAGAGCTTTCCTTCAGTCTGCTGCCCCTTGAAGCTCACTCCTATGGCATCCAAAGGAGAGCAAGTTGGCTGTTTGCAGTTATGCCACTGGATCTGGCTTCAACACCACTGTATCAATCTACAGTGGAAAGACTGTGTGTACTCCACATTTTAGGCATCTTTGGGACATGTTTTCCATTGCCTCAGAGGTACCTGCATCTCCAACTGTTCCTATTTTTCTGTGGCTGGCATCTTTGAGTAAAATGCTGACCTGAGCTCTTCTGAGCACTGCTAGATGGCTGACAGCAGAAGGAACTGAGGGACAGTTGAAACACTGGGGAACCTGATAGAAGAGGTGACACTGTGTGGATAAATGGAAACTCAGTAGAATAAAAGAAGAAGAACTAGATTTAAAAGAACAAAGACTTCTAGTTTGCTTGGCTCCACGTTGACTCTATGAAAGACACATGTATGAAGAAGGCTCAGTGTAAATCTGATGATTTTCTAAAGATGTGATGTGTTTGGATCCTGGATATGAAACATCTACTTTCCGTTGAGACTGTGTCACAGTTCTGCCTTTATCCTGTGGTGTTTTCTGAATTTGTTCTGTCTGATTACGGTCACGTTTAGAGAACTGTTGCTTCAGAACACAAAGGCCCCTCACCTGTTGTCTCTCATCCTCTGCCAGTGAATGCCAGACACTTCCAAAGAAGGTGAGGAATCAAACTGCTCATCTAATCTTTGTTCTGCTAAAACTACCCTAGATGGAAGGTCTGAGATCCAACAAGACCATCTCATAATCCAGAGGTACGATGGTTAGAAGTTATTCAGTCTATCAACTTGTGTATTTATAAGGCCCTCAGTATAAATACACAAGAAAAATCATATGACCTTAAGCACAGGGGTATTAGAAATAGAATGAAATGTAATAGTATGGGGTTGAGTACTTAGATACTGACAACAAGAATAGCTGCTTTAAGCTGGGGGCTCAGCCACTGGAAACAACGAAGTTACAGGGGAAGGATGTGGATGCATGTGTTCATCATAGCACAATTAGTCACTGTTGATGGGATGCAGTCATGGAAAAGCAGAATGCAGTAGCTGAACACGGTACAGGAGCTATTCATAGCAAAGACAGTGAAGTGTTAATAGCATGGGACAAGATTTCTCTTGGCAAACCAGAGACTGTTCTGGTGCTGCATCTCCAAAAAAGGTGAATTTGTGCTGGAACAAATAAAGAAAAGGGCTTCTTTGGTGATCAGGTAGACAGAGAGCCAATCCAATGGGAGGAAAGGAGGAGGGCTTGTTTTCTTTAGCCTAGCAAAAAACAAGGATGTGTTGGTCTTTATTAATACATTGGGGAGGTAAAAATTGCAGAGTGTGACAAGTTACTCATGTTAAAGGACAGTGCTAGGACAAGAACAAATGGGTGTAAACAAGCTGGGAATAAATTTAGTCTGGAAATTAATATAAGGTTTCTAAAGCTCTCATCATCTTGGACATCTATTCTTACTACACCTTCCTCTCTGGCTTTGGCCACTACAAAATTCCTCTACTGCTTCTGCAAGGTCATTGCCCTCACCTGTCTCTTTATGTCTCTCCCCTTGTATTTCTTTTTCTGTCACATCAGAGGTGTTGCTCAATTTGTTTGTCTGCAGTGTCAAAGCCATTCCTCCTAACCCTTCTCTCATCTTCAGGCCAGCATCAGAGCCAAATCCTTTTTGTTCTGGGTTTTTTTTTCCCTAGCTTTCAGGCTGTATCATCTGCACCTGTTAATTTTTCAGCATCTGGGAGAGGAAAGCTTCTTGGAAGTGAAGAAAAAGGGCCACAAATTTTTGCTCAGACTAGATTGAAAATGATTTTTATTTTTTTTTTACTCAGAGGATTGAGTAGCATGGGAAGGGGTTACCCAGAAAGGTGGGGACATCTCCATCTTTAGGGGATTCTGCGACTACCTAAGAGTTGCAGTGAACATAATGCAGTACTGGCATAAGTCCTGATTCAAGCAGAATCTGGGCTAGATTGTCTCCAGATCTCCTTCCAACTGATATTTCATTGCTGCTATGAAATCAAAGGGATCTGGGTGAGGTCAGACTATCATAGAATCACAGAACTGCAGGGGCTGGAAGAGACCTCAGGAGATCATTGCGTTCAACGCCCTGTAAAGCAGTTCCCTACAATAGGTCACACAGGTTGGCATCCAACTGGGTCTTGAATATCTCCACAATAGGTGACACCACCACCTCTTTGGGTAACCTGTTCTAATGCTCCCTGACTGTAAGTAAGTTCTTCTGCATGTTAGTACTGCACGTTCCATTTTTAGGTCATTGCTGCTTGCTCTATTGCTACACACCACTGAGAAGAGCCTGGCCTCATCCATTTGCCTCCCACCTCCCTTCAGATATTTATGAACATGAATCAGATCTCCCTCCAGTCTCCTTTTCCCCAGGCTGAACAGACCCAGGTCACTCAGTTACTATGGACCAATGACCTTCATATCATCACCTGAAAAGAATTTGTGCTGTAACTTTCTATGCCCATTGTGCTATAACTAGTCAGCTAGTTGTGAAATAGCTGTGATATCTTTGTGCTTCTTTTATAATTGAACAGCAATCCAAAAGACCTTCAAGATCATCAAGTCCAACCCATCCCCACCGTGCCCACTGACGAGATCTTATAGGAAGGGAGAAAATGAAGTCAGTGGACAAATACACACCAAAAGATTTGCATTAAAAATATCTCTTTCAAAGTTAAGCTGGCAGAGATTGTACAGTCTGACCGTGAGATCTGACGGTGGAACAATCTCTGCTAAACTAAACTGTCTGGGACAGGAATTTGAGCAGTAACCTCTTAATTGAGACTGTCAGGATTTTCCTTGGCACAGTTTTGGCCTTGGCCAGTGACTCTATCTGAGGCAATTTATGGGAGATCATAGTCACTGGTTACAGTGATGGTTACAGCAAGAAGGCACCTCTGGTGGTCGTAGACCCTTCCCACCAGGCAGCCTGAGGGAGCAGAAGGCATTTGGAAATGAGCACAGGGGCTGTGTTGTGCCGCTTTGAGGGTCAGAAAATGATCCTGGACTTTGTAGTGGAAGAGATGTAGCCTATAATGTGGCGCCTGTTATTTGCAGTTATGTTCCCTTACTCCATAACTCAGCTAAAGCTCATTTATATTGTCAAATTATGTCTTCTCTATTACAGCCTTGAGCTGAGCGTTTTATGTTTTTCCTTTCTTCTGAAACAATTTGAAGACAGCAATTTTTTTTAACTCGTAAATTTGGAGCCAAGTAAAAGCAGAGGATTTACAGCCCCAGACATTGAGTATCTGCAGCTCAATGATGTTAGGGGAGGAGCATAGTGGAGTACCTCTTCTCTTATTGCCTTTGTGTGCCTGGTCCTCTCTGCAACATCTGCTCCAGAGTATAGAGTGCTATTTCTTGCTCTCCCACAGAGATCTGAGTCCATGTTGCCTCTCTCCTAATCACTTCCCATTCATGTGGAAAGGGGAGGAAGCAATAGCCAACACATTTCAATTCAGTGGCAGAGCTGAGACCCATTCCCTACGCTTCTCACAGAGGATCTGCAGTTCAGGGCTGTTGTCTACTGTGCAAACTGATGTCTAACCAATAGAGTGAATCATAGAATGGCCTGGGTTGAAAAGGGCCACAGTGATCATCTAGTTTCAACTCCCTGCTATGTGCAGGGTCACCAAGCACCAGACAAGGCTGCCCAGAGTCACATCCAGCCTGGCTTTGAATGCCTCCAGGGATGGGGCATCCACACCCTCCTTGGGCACCAGTGATGTTCAACAAGGTCCTTGACTGTTAAAAAAGAAGTGGCCTGTGTGAAACTTTAGAGGCATTTGGCTCTAAAGGTCAGTGGTTTTGTGCTTCATCTCATTCCATAGCCATATCATTGCACACACAGCCCTTGCTTTTTCCAGTCCCAGGGAACAAAGGATCTGCCCTTATCAAAGCTGTTCATTTTACAGACTTTGTGGTCACTTTCCAGGACGGAGCTCAACAGCACTGCACAATAAGATGTGTCATACCTTCAGCAATTCTCATCACTCTAATTCTGTACTGGACTTTCTGCAAATAGCCTTCATTTTTCCAGGTGGAAATGGGAGCCCAGAAACTGCTGATGTTCATCTAAAATGTGGGTCATATCATGAAGCTCCCAGTAGCTGCTTGCTTTCTGGAATTGATCCTGCCCTCTTTCCCTCTCCTATGGCTGTCAGCACAAGGCATCAGCACTGTGTTTTGGCCTTGGCGGGCAGGCTGTGTTTCCACTAAACACCTCCTGGAGAGTTGCTAAGTCACTGACTAAATGGTCTGCATTGCTGAGCTGTCTTCTGAAGCTGGCAATTAATCACCCAATGCTTGAGCTGGCTAAAATCAACTTGACTGAAGACACAGAGAGACAGTAGGAATGACAGAACAGGGAGTGAAAAAAGAATATCCAGCAAATAAGAAAAGAAGAATACAAGAGAAAGACCTTTCCTGGAGTTGCCTGCGTGATGTTCTCTGACTCCAGTCTAATCTTCCCTGATTGAAACAGAGCAGCAGAGTTCAACCAACGTGACTAACGTCAGTGGGAGCTGTTGCCCTCACCTTCAGTGCTATAATTAACTGAGGAAATATGAGTTTCACAGGCTCTCAGACATGATCTTAGCTTGCTGGGGAAATGAACCAATGATGATGTGCCCGCTTGTGTCCGCTGTCCCCTTTGCTCCCTCCCTCCCCACACAGGTCCTATTCCCGCCCCACACAAGAACAACAGCAGCTGTGTTGGTATTTATATTCACTCCAGACTGGAAAATCACCACCGACACAGAGCCAGACCCTGCCTTTGAGCAGACCTTCTGCCAAGTGCTGATGCTTGCAGCTCCCACAGCATCCTCTTTTGGTTTCATCGGCTCCAAGCCCGTGTCTCATCACCATTCATCTGCTGCTGGTGGATGATGATTGTGCACATCCTACCTCCAATGGGTTTGGCATGCAAGACACATCTCTTGGCCCACAGCCTGTTCCCATGCTGACCTTTCCTAAAGGCTCCTTGCTATGGTCAGAGTGGGTCGTGGAGGAGACAGCTTGCTCCCATTTGCTACCCACATCACCAAAGCATGCAAGCCAGTGTTGTACACCTGGTGCTTACTGGTTTATATGATGGCTGTGCACCGGGCTGGTGAGCTGTATAAGTACAGAACTGAATGTACACCTGTGACATAAAGGTATATATATCAGTAGCTGGGCTTTATCTACATCCTCCATAGGAGACAGGAGAAAAAAATAAAAGACTGTGAACAGGCTTTTGCAGAACAACTCACAATATGCTGTGTGGAGCTAACCATTATGCCAAGACATATGTTCTCTCCCCTTACAGATCTCTGATGTGTCTATCAGAAATATATGCCACAAATACATATATATACAGTAGAGGTTTATGATAATCCAGTGAAAACTAGATCACTAGAAGCTATGAGAACAAATGGTTAGTTAGAGCTTATAACCACACCATTAGATGAAAAAGAAAAATTGTTAAAAGCAGCTACTGATATGACCCTGTGAGCACACATAATAACCTCACTACCCTGGAGTTCACCCTCTCTTCAGTGCCACTGCCCTGTACAAATCAAGTTTCACTCCCTCCCTCCCTGGCCATGCTCCATTCAGCTCAGCCCCATCTGCTCCTGCTATTCTGAAACTGCACCAGCCAGGAGTTTCTGAGTGGAGACTTGCAAGACTGACTGCAGCCAGCAGAACTAAGGACACCCAGGATTGCTGAGCAATCCACTTCTTTCCA